GCACGGGGGGGGGCTGCGGCCCCTCCGGGCGCTCCAGGCCGGGCTTTGGGGCCGCCCACGGGCGGTACCTATAGAGCCGGCAGCGCGGCCGGGGGCTGCAGCAAATGTTTGTTCCATATGGGAACGGCGCGCGGAGACTTCCAAGTATAGGCACTGGCCGGGAGCCAGGGCTGCGCGCGGGCCTGCCGCCCCGCGGGCACCCGGCCCCCCCGCCAGCCCCCGGCCCCCCCTGCCCCGGGCCCAGGAGTCCGGGCAGCCCTGACCCCCCCCCCGCCACACCGGCCAGCAGAGCCCCGACCCACTCGGTGCACACGTGGGGCTGGAAAATGCCCAGTCCCCAGGGACCCCCGGCGCCCGGGACCTGCTGCGGTCACGGCTCTGCCACCGAGCCCGGCAGGGCCACCGACCCGGCCGCGGCGCTCGAGGAACCCGCGGGCCGCGCTCTTCCTCCTCCTCCTCCTCGTCCTCCGCGCGCGGCAGGCCCCGCGCCGCCCGCCCCGGCTCCAGCGCCAGCAGCCACGTGCAATGAGTGCCGTCGGGCCTCAGCCTGCGCCCAGGCCCCCGGCCCGTGCCCGCCGCCCGCCCCGGCGCGTTCTGCTGAGCTGGGCGCGCGCCGCAGCTGCAAAACAAGGCGGGGGCAAAGTCCAGGGCTGGGCGGGCGGCGGCGCGGGGGGCCCGGGCGCAGATGGGCCGGGGGGTCCCGGCGCCCCCCCGGCCCAGCTGGCGGCGCGCAGGGAGGTGAGGGCCTAAGCGCTTTAGCCAAGGTGCCAATTAGCGCGATTAGCGCCGCGCGGGGGGAAGGGCCGCGGCCACCGGCGCCCGCGCGGGCACCCCGGGGCCGGCACCGCGGGGTCCCACGGAGCCCACGGCGGCGGGAGCCGGTGGGCAATGGCCAGGGTCACCAGGCACGGGCGGCTCCACGTGGCGCCAGCGCCGTCGCGGGTGCAATGCGCCTGGCAGCGCCCGGCGCGGCAATGTGATAGCAGGGCCTGGCACGCTGCACGTGTCTGCCACAGGGTGCCCGGGGCACATCGCACATGCTGCATGCACCGCACAACGGCGCAATGCACCCAGGGGTGCCCAGCGCATGTCCCAGTGCATTGCATGCATCCTCACACGCTGCAATGCACCCAGGGGTGCCCAGTGCGTGTCCCAGTGCATTGCATGCATCCTCGCCTGCTGCAATGCACCCAGGGGTGCCTGGCATGCATCCCTGCACCCTGCCACAGTGCAATGCTCCAGTTGCGCCCGGCACGGCGCATGCATCTCATTGCAGCCGCGCAGCCTTGCCTGGCGAGCCGTGCGCATCCCGGCGCGCCACGAGCATCCCGGAGCGGCTCGGTGCCCGGCGGTGCCCGGCCAGCACCGGGGCGCCCGTGGCCGCGCGGCTGCGCGTGACTCAAGGCCGCAGGAATCCCAGGCATGCGGCGGCAGCTGGGCAGCCCGCGCCGGGGCTGCCACGCGCCCCACATCAGCACCGGGGCGACCCCGGGGCACCCCGCCGGACCCCCCAGCCCCACAGGGCCGGCGCCACCGCGCAGGCCGGCGCGGGCTCATCGCGGTGCCAGGAGCCACCCTGCATCCTGCTGCGGCGCCAGCATGCGGCGGGCTCCGTTTCCCGGCGCAGCCTCCGTGCCGGCCCCCGCCGGCCCCGGGCGCAGGTTTCCCCGGCGGTGCCCGCGGGGCCCTGGCGGGGCCGGTGCACGGGCCGAGCGCGGCCCCGCGGGAACCGGGCGCCAGGGATCTATTCTCAGCGCCCCGGGGGGGGCCTGGCAGGGCCCGCGGGACGTTTCTAAATCAGGGAGCGCAGCGGGGGCTCCGGCTCGGGGCGGGGCCGGACGCCTGGGCCCCGCGGCCGCTCGGCACTGGGTGCCGGCCCCGGCAGTGGGACACGCGGCTCGGCCGGACACCGGCGCTGCCCTCACGGTGCCCACGCCGCAGCCTGGCCGGGACCCTGCGTCGCGTCCCGCCCGCGCCCGCCTTCCTCCCAACCCTGCCCTCCTCCTCCTCCTCCTGCCCGGGACCCGGGCGTCCTGGCCCCGCCTCCCCGCGCCCAAGGCACCGGACAGGAGTGCGCGCGCCCCACGGCGCCGGGGGTCCCGCGGGCCCCACGGCCGCGCCGTCCCGTCCGGCGCCGGCTCCGGGCTTTGGCGGCAGCCGCGGGAACGTGCGTGGCGGCGCGGCCAGGGGAGGGGGCTGCTTCCTGGGCCCCCCCCCTTGCTGCCACGCAGCGCCCGCGGGGCACCCAGATCCGCACGGCGGCCCGGCCGGCCCTGGGCGCGGGTCCGGCCCCCCAAGATGCTGTCAGGAGGCCAACAAGCACCCCACAACCGGGCCTGGCATCCACTTGTGATGCCGAGCACCCCACAAGCCGAGCGCCCCACGGCTGCACCTACAAGTGCCAAGTGCCCCACAGATGCACCGAGCACCCTACAAGCACACTGAGCACCCCACAGACGCACCGAGCGCCCTACAAGCACACTGAGCGCCCTACACATGCACCAAGCGCCCTACATACGTCGAGCGCCCTACAAGCGTGCCGAGCGCCCTACAAGTGTGCCAAGCACCCTACAAACGTGCCGAGCGCCCTACACATGCACCGAGCGCCCTATATACACGTCAAGCGCCCTACAAGCGTGCTGAGCACCGCGCGCCCCTGCAAGCCCCCGCGCGCGCGGACGGGCCTGCAAAG